GATTTTTTTTGTTGTTTTTCATTGTTGTGAAGTACAGCATTTTACCCCTTCATGTCGTTGCAGAATATATTTATGTATGTGTATATATGGGTATTAACATTTTCAATGTGAAATTGGTTTCTTTTTTTTTTTTTTCTTTTCTTTCTCTCTTATGTTTCCGGGCTATGGTTAAATGGCAAAAATAAAAAGTTTCTTTATTTATTATTATTATTTTTTATTGTCAAGGACCAATTTTTTTTTTTTTTTTTCAAATAACGGACAAAGCAGTAGTCATAGTAGTTGTGGTACTTTAGGAATTTTCAAATTTATAGATTAGTTTTAGTTAAAGTAGCTATTTTTTAATACTTTTGTTGAATAATAAAGCAAAAAAAAAAAAAAATAAAGAAATAAGAAACATTATTTAATGATTATTAGGAAGAAAAGTGAAAAACTGGTGAAAAAAACAGGCATATGAGGTAGTAATCATAGCAAAACAAAACTGCTTTTCCTAAGTAATAAAAAAGTTTTTTAAGGTTTTTTTTTAATTTATTAATCTTATCATCATAAGTAGAGGTAGCGAAAACAATTTGTTAGTTGGCAGAAAATATACCACAGTTTCTTAAAGCAACATTTAATTCATCTCTTTTTGAAAAATCTCTTCTTGCTTCTTCAGGTACTCTGTATTTAGTGAGTTAGTTTGCTGTATAGGTGTATATTGTCGTTATGCTTCCATACTGTTTATTTCGTTTGCGATAATAAGCTGTCGGATCTAAAATTAAATAGAAATGGTTTTTCATAATTTAAAGAGTTATTAATCTGTTATGAAGCGTTGCAAGATATATTAAAGTTTGGATACCTCACTAGTTCCGGCTCCAATCTCATATAATCTTGCGTCACGATAGAACCGACCAGCTGGATATTCGTTTACGTACCCATTGCCACCTACGGGTAATTACCACAGTTGATGGTCACGTGCTAGGTACTTGGTCAAGTGGAAATTAAAAAAAAATTTGCGAAGGGGTTTTCGTCTTTAAACACATAAGGTTTTTTTTAGATTAATGAAAAATTACCTCATTAGGGTGGGGTAATTTGGTAAAGCTAACCTAGTATTTGTAAAGCGTCGTCACACACTTTCACTCCACATTTAGAAGCATAGTAAATTGCTGCAGCACAATGCTATAATTGTTTATATTAATAGCTGAGATGAGGAATGTCGGATAGATGTATAATTGAGTAAATTTTACTCTGTTAGTCAGTTCTCCGCGGTTGACTGCCATTGCAGTATTATAGACATGATGGCGACAGACTGTTAACAAAGTGTCCATATCAGCAATTTTTGCTTGAATAAGCTGAAATATTCTGATTTTCTCTTGGAATCTATTACTACTATTGGAGTACTATAACTTCTTGTCATTTATAGGTTAAGAGGATTTGTGTGTTGAGATTGAAAGCGTAATCAAAAAAGTTATTTGGTTTCTTCATGGCGAGCAATTATTTATGTAAATACGGTATTGAGTTTGAAAACGTAATCAAAAAAGCAAGCAGTGATAGGTAGGAAACACGACACCTGGTAATTTCCTATTTTTTTACCAAACGTTTTCCTCTGATTAGCGTAGTCGAAAGCAAGTTCACAAGCCGCTTGCATTATTCTGAAATTTTTTGCTTTCAAGAGAGTATTGCTGTAAATGTTGCAGGTACTGGCCCAAAAAGACTGAGTATTAATACCAACCCTAGTGGTCCTCCTGCGAGTACCAAACGTTCGTAGTTTAATCCACTCATTAAAACACGGACACCTTCATTTACTTTTCCAATTACATTTTCCTCTGAAGTATTAACTAACTTTTGTGTCATATTTAATCATAGCTGAAATAGTTGAAACAATAAGGCGAAGTATACCCGGTACAACACAGTTGTCAAAAATCAGTTCACATGTATTCGACCCTCTCATTCCAAACTTATCGAATTTTGGTGACTTGGAAAAGCCAGGGAAGTCCTGCAGTGTGATTTGGTATTTGGAGATACATTCGTTGGAACAAAGGTATAACTAGTACCTTTTCAACTAGGAAGGCTGTTATGCCATACTTTCCTTTTGTTGGTTCAGTTTTAGCATATACAATAGTCACATCAGCGTCTGGGCCATTTGTAATCCAAAACTTCGAACCATTGATTATAAAGTTGTTCCCGTCCTTTTTAGCAGTTAACATCATGGAAACAACGTCCGATCCAGCGCTTGATTCACTCATCGCAAGTGCTCCTATGTGGTCGCCACTTATCAGCTGCAATTCTTCTTTATATTTTCGACATGTGGTTTTCTTCAATGTTTTATATAAAGTCAGAAATCTTATAATGCAAATATCAGTACTCTTGGTAAATATTTTTGTTTTTGCTCTTGACTTCCATTAAGTGCAATTTGGTTGACACAGAGGTTAGAATGTGCACCATAGCTGAGGCCCAAAGCTCCACTGACCCTGGACAGCTCTTCCATTGCAATTACATGTTCTAAGTATGACATCTCGCTTCCACCAAACTCACCTTAACCAGTATGCTGTTAAGTAATAGTAGTTGAAGTAGTTTTTATCCTTTATCTTTTTTGTTTTTTTGATAGTATTTTTGAAGGATTGCTAAAAGCTCCAAAGTCGTTAAACATCTAATCGGTTAGTTAAAATGGATATTTTACGAAGTTGAAGCAGATATTTTATATGCAACCAGATGGTTAGTGGAATTTAAAATTAGTAAGTTTGGAAAAGCTCCACCATTTTTTATGACTAAACTGAAAGAGAAATTGTTACTCGATACTGTTATACCCAGAAGTCCGAGTTTTCCGAGTTTCTTCCAGAATTTCTGAAAAAGCATTATAAAAGGATGTTGAAGATTTTATTCTTTTATATTAGTGACTTTTGTATCGCTTTTAATAAATGTTGATGCAGTGTAACTTTTTTTTGAAGGGGGGGGGGGAAGGAGGGGAGAGGGAGAGGGAGGTGATAAGACGATAACTCGTAGTAAAGTTAGTTGCGAAGAAAGCAGTTGTCGGATGGGATTAATTACTATTCTTTTTGTTCATACTGGATTTAATTTTTTACTGTTACAGTTAGAAATATATGAGGCTGAGGAAATGTACGACATACCCTTAATTCGGGAAAGTTATTAGTTCTGTCAATTTCAGCAGCTTTTTGCGTTCCGATTTCCTTTTCAACGAAGTCTCGTACTGTCTTTCGCAACTAAAAAAAGTTTTGGACTCGAATGTTAGTTTGGTTTGATGAAGACATTATCACTGCAGT